CCCCAAAACCCCAAAACCCCAAAACCCCATGGCATGATAGATAGTCGAATTATATTGATAAACTCTCAAAATAATTGAAAGAAAAAATAAATATGATTGAATTAGATAAATCATAACTTGTTGAGCCAGAATCTAACTAGCATTTTAAGTTTATTTCAATTCCATCTGATTTAACTCTATCAATTACCGAAAGAAGAAAATCTAGTCAAAACTATCTTGATGATGATGAAGAAGATGTGAAAAAGCAGTGTGAAGTTATAAACTAGTAAAATGAAAAACTCAGTAAGATCTAAGACTCATTTGAATGCATAGAATACACAACAGAACCAGGGATAATAAATAATGTCATGTTATCAATCTCTAATACCACAAAGTTCTCTTTTCTAAACAAAATCGATTCATTTAACCAAAGTGTAGTTGAAAAACTGCCTCCTAATTGCAATAATCAAAACCTTTATCAAATGACAAACTCCTCTCTTATCACAGGTTAGTTAACCTTCTAGAGTAGAGGGTTACGAGAAAATCTGATGTAAAAGTTAACTAACTTGAGATATAGATTCAACGACGGAGATCTGATTGAATATATGGCCTATCCTAAAGTCTCTTTTGGTGATTCTTCAGCATTTGATAAAACAGCTTTTTTATTCAATAGCAAGTACAATAGCAAAAAATCATTCAATAGTTCTTTTAAGAGTATTATCTGGGTCTCTTATCGAAACAACTTTCCATAACTAACAAGAAACATATCTATTGGCAGCAAGAACTACCTGCAGCCCTCTTTGAATGACAAAAATCAAATAGAGCAGAAATTCCTAACATCAGATTGTGGGTGGGGTTGCATGATAAGGTGCCAATAAATGATGCTAGCTAATGCATTAGTAAGACTAGACTCTTCTTACCATAAGCAATTCAGCATGAATAATGATGAAATTCTCGAATTATTCCTAGACATCCCTGAAAAGTATTTTAGTATACATTAGATTACAGAAGAGGGTAAAATTAGCATGGATAAATAGCCAGGTGATTGGTATGGTGTCAATTCAATTACATAAGTCATTAAAAACATTTTTGATCAAAAATCTACTCTAAGGCCAGACTGCCCTCAAGTATTCAAGAAAATTTCTTTTATGGTATTCCAAGAAGGGGCAATTTTTATGAATGAGATTAAATAAGAACTCCTGCTTTATCTTGATGAATATAATAGAGCGAAAACAGAGGAGCTTAATTATAATAAGAAGCAAAAGTTTTAATAACATTCTAAAACTGATTAGCACAAGAAGTTCATGGAAAAAAGGAAGCTTTCCTCATAGTTTGAGATGATCGATGATAATCTCGATGATGTAATGTAAGTTTCAAGTCCTTCGTATAATTTTTTTGATATAGAGTATAAGAAGAGGATTCATTTCAGCTAGTTGGGATTGAAAGCACATCTCAGTCAAACACTCTTTCTTTGAATGAGTAATTCTCGAATAAATCTGATGAAAAATCGCTCTACACTCATGATTCTGACTACCCAAAAGCAGCTCTTGTTGTTATAACTATGAGATTAGGATTGAATAAGATTGAGGAGGAGTACTTTGATACAATTTTAGAATGCTTTAGCTTGCCACAATGTGTGGGTATTCTTGGTGGGAAACCTAGTTTTGCTCTATATTTTGTGGGTCATCAAGATAAACAACTTATATTCTTAGATCCTCACTACGTTCAAGACTCACTTAAAACCAAATAGGATTTGCAAAATGATGATTTAAGATAAACCTACTATCCCTCTGGTCAGGCTAAGAAAATTAAGATGGATGGACTTGATCCATGTATTGGCGTTGGCTTTTTAATCAGGAACTCAGAAGATTTGAGGACTTTTGAGGAAGCATTTTCGAAAACTGGAAAATTGAGTAAAATAGCCACTCTTTATTAGGACAGGCCGAAAGATCAATGCTTATCAAGGAAGCTAGATGAAATCAATTTCAGTTCTGACTATATTGATCATTCTCTGTTATGACTGTCGTCTTCAAAGTCCTCGTCATGTCTCATTAGGATTCTAAGAGCTTATTATAAACATAAATAGTTAATAGTTTTCAATAATTTTCAGCTCTTTCTTAAATTATTCTTAATCTTCTAGAATATAGCACCAGTTGGGGTTTTGGGGTTTTGGGGTTTTGGGGTTTTGGGGTTTTGGGG